GAGGCAGGAGAATTGCCTGAACCCAGGAGGCGGAGGAAGCGGAGAGCCGAGAAAGCACCATAGCACTCCAGCCTGGGGAACAAGAGCGAAAAACCAACAAAAAAAAAAAAAAAAAAAAAGTTTTAAAAGAAAAAAAGTTAAAAATAGGAAAAAGCATATAGAATAAAGATATAATTTATTTATGATCAATATTATTTATTTATAAAGCAGTACAATGTGTTTTAAGCTGTGTTGTAAAAGTGTCGAAAAGTTGGCCCGGTGCATTAGCTCATGCCTGTAACCTCAGCGCTTTGGGAAGCCAAGGTGTGTGGATCATTTTAGGTTTGAGATCACCCTGGCCAACATGATGTAACCCTTGCCTCTACTAAAAATACAAAAATTAGCCAGATGTGGTGGCGTGCACCTGTAATCCCAGCTACTTGGGGGCCTGAGGCAGGAGAATTGCCTGAACTTGGGAGGTGGAGGTCGCAGTGATCCAAGATCGCACCACTGCACTCTAGCCCAAACGACAGAATGAGACAGTTTCAAAAAAAATCAAAAAGTTTAAAAAAAGTTAAAAAGCCTATAAAGTAAAAAAGTCACAGTAAGCTAAGGTTAATTTATTATTGAAGAAAAAATAGGCTACACCAAGTCTATTTGTTCATAGGTCTACAGTAGAGCACAGGAAAGGCCTAGGCCTTCCCATTCACTCACCACTCGCTCACTCACCCAGAGCAACTTCCTGCCTGCAAGCTCCATTCATGGCAAATGTCTTATACAGGGAGACCATTTAAAATCTTTTATATGATCTTTTTACTGTACCTCTTACATGTTTAGATACACAAATATGTATCATTGTGCTATAATTGCTGACAATATTTAGTCCTGTAACGCGCTGTACAGGTTTGTAGCCTAGAGCCACAACCTCCGTCATACAGCCTGGGTGTGCAGCAGGCTATACCATGTAGGTCTGTGTCAGTTACTTTAAGATGTTTGCACATACAAAATTACCTAACAACGCACATCTTAGAACATGTCCCTGTCTTTCAGGGAAAATGTGGCACATATACACCATGGAATACTATGCAGCCATCAAAAACAATGAGTTTGTGTCCTTTGTAGGGATATGGATGAACCTGGGAACCATCATTCTCAGCAAACTGACAGAAGAGCAGAAAATCAAACACCGCATGTTCTCACTCATAGGCGGGTGTTGAACAATGAGAACACATGGACACAGGGAGGGGAGCACTACACGCTGGGGTCTGTTGGGGGGAAATAGGGGAGGGACAGTGGGGGGTGGGGAGTTGGGGAGAGATAGTATGGGGAGAAATGCCAGATATAGGTGAAGTGGAGGAAGGCAGCAAATCACACTGCCATGTGTGTACCTATACAGCAATCTTGCATGTTCTTCACATGTACCCCAAAACCTAAAATGCAATTAAAAAAAAAACAACATGTCCCTGTCTTTAAGCAACATGTGACTGTAATTGGTAATAGTTTGCAAATGGCAGGGAAGGATGCAATGGATAAATGTATGCAAAATTATAGACATGCTTAGCTTTGGTAGTATACAGTATGTAGCATAAGGTGATTTAAAGGGACTGCCTTTTAAATCACCAAGTTTCTATTGAGCACCTACCATGCAAACGTCCTTCAGCCTTGCTGGGCCTGCAGTAGCACCTGGCAGGCAGAGCTGCTGCATGATTAGAGACCCAGTTGCAGGCCCAGCCAGGAGTGGACAGAGAGCTGTGGGAGACGGTACAGATGCTCCCGCACTGGTTTTGGTTCTGAATTCTGTGAATTTTCAGGGGAGAGTCCACACTCCAGGAGAATGGCAGTTTTGTGAAGCTTAGGGTATTTGTAGCAAGTATGAGTATGACTTCACAGCTTCATTTCCTTTAATTCAAATTAAACCAGACTCTGAACCCTCCTCCCCTGCCTCCATCCTGAGGTGGATTTGTTCTAAGGTATCATTGGCGCATTCCTCCGCACCCTGAGACCATGGCCACCATCATGACCACCCACCCACCCACACCACTGCCACCACGAGTGGGGGTTGAACAATCCAGCAGGCCTACAAGGTGCCTAGAAAAGAGGCCAGGCCTCTGATCATCAGTTCCTAAGTTTTCCTCCAATACCTCTGTGGTCCAAGTCTGCATAGACACTGCATAGCCTCTGAGGAGGCTTTGCATCCTCATGAATTTCTTTGAGGAACTTGCCAGTACATGGCACTCTGGTACTGGGTCAGTCTCCTGGAAGCACCATGAATCATCAAGTCCCTCTGAGCTCTAGCTGCCTTCCTGGGCTGCTGCACGGGGAGGCCTGAATGCCCAGTCCTTACCCAACCCTCAGCTGCACTCCTCCCCCTCCTCTCCCAGCATCACCGCTCACCAGTGAGAACAAGGCAGGATCTCAAAAGTCAAGATAAAGCATTCCAGCAGCTTCCACCGTGTGCTTAAAGGATGGATAGGAGGGAACCCTAAGGGGCCTCACTAACTTCTTGAAATTCAGGAGGGGAGCAGGTGGATGAGAAATACTGAGAACTCAATGCAAATTGATTTCTCAATAAGTCATTCTGCTACTAATCATGGTGTCATTTATCTGCCATGCAGAGAGCAGCAGAGCCTGGTAATGAAGTTCGTGGAATCTTCATTCTGCCTCTTGTTAACCATGTGACCTTGCTCCAGTTTCCCAATAAGTAAACCAGAGATGGTGATAACAGCACATGGGCACAGTGGTGCTGAAGGGTCAGATGAGCTAATACATATACCACACTCAGTACAATACTGAGACACAGTGACACCCACTCAGTCTTAGCTCTTATTATTATTACACCTTCTTTTTCTTCTTTTTTTTTTTTTTTTGGAGACAGGGTTTCTCTCTGTTTCCCAGGCCGGAGTGCAGAGATGCGATCATAGCTCACTGCAGCCTCAACCTCCTGGGCTCAAGCAGTCTTCCCGTCTCAGCTTCCCGAGTAGCTAGGACTACAGGCACACACCACCACACCTGGCTAATTTTTTACTTTCTACTTTGTAAAGATGGAGTCTCACTGTGTTGCCCAGGCTGTGTTATTATGACTTTATCTCTAGTTTCACAGGAGCAAATATTGACCCCCCTCATAGCACACATTCAACATATTACTTATACAAATGATATTTGTCTCTTTTCTCAAGGCTGTCAATATTCCCTTCTCCACAACCAGTAAGATAGGAAGATAAGGAAAGTGGGGATGAAGAAAGGAAGACTCATACTGTGCTGAGACCACAGGCATGAGCTCTGAACGCTGCCTGCCCGGATGGCTGGTACTCCCAGGAGAAGGGACTATTCTAGAGGTGATGATGTTCCTAATGGAATGATTTTAGGAATCGTATGGGAAGAGCAGTGGGATATGCTCTGTGTGGGGAGCTTGTCACTGTTAGGGGCGTGCATCTTGCCGGTGGAAAGATGCCCGGCTGCGAGTCGCCTCCCAAGCCTTCACAGGCTTCATCTCTCGACTCCACGCATCACTTTCTCAGACATCCTCTCTGCCCCAATCTAAATTAGCTCCCACCTGTCATTCTCTCTCATAGTTTTTTCTTTCCTACTATTAGTCTTTGTTCAACTCTCAATGACAGATATTTTGTGTGTTTATTTGTTCAGCGTCTTCTCTACCAGCAGATTATTTAGCTGTAGAGGGCACAGATTAAGTGTGTTTTATTGACCAAGTATAATCACTTAGCTTTCGCTTTTTAATCTGTTAAATGAGGATGGTAATACTGCTTTTGCCCACCTCATTGAGCCGTAAAATTAAAAAATATAATACATGGGAAACTTCTTTGTAAATCATAAAACATGGTACACATTGAGTTATGCTTAGCGCCATGTCTATTTGAACATACATCACAAACTGAGTACTTGTGAAATGAGCTCCTAGGCAGATGAGCCTTCTGTTAAATGAGATAATGGGAAAACATGCTCAGAGCAGGACACACACTGTGATGGCTTTTATTGTGTAAGGTCAGAAATAGCAGCCCCAACCTCTAAAAATACCATGTTCACTGAGTCTACCCATAGTAGGCTGGAAAGAGTTAAATGGGAGCTCCCACAGCTAACAATGTCTAAACACATGCGAGAGTGAGTAACCCCGAGCCAGTGTGTTCTGGAACTGGGGGAGGTTTTGCAGGTTACTTCTCAAGCAAGATGTTCCTTTCCTACCAAGAGGCAAGGATGGTCGACATCTGTCTTCCCTTGCTCCACAGCAGTGAGACAGCAGAGGGACGGAAGATGATTCTGGAAAAACGCCTGCTGCTGCCAGCATTTCACAGAGAGCAAATGGGAGGAGGGTGAAACTCCTTAAATTCAAACATAGCACAGATATGTGCATTACTATATGTGGAACCAGGAGAGTTGGAGCTGGAGTGATACAGCCGACGAGTGCCCCAGTGCTGGGCTGCGACGACTCTGCTTTCCATAGACAAACCAGAAACATGAAATTATCCATCCTGATGGCCGGTGTGGTGTGGGAATCACTGAGGCTGGGAACCCACAGATCAATGGTGTGAACCAGGAAGATGAAAACATCAGATTGGACCAAAACAGACCCATTTTCTTCACTACTCCATTCTCTGGTTTTGCCCTATATCTTAGGGAAGCAGGATAAGACACTGACACCCTAACTGTGCTGGGTATTCCTTGTTGTTCAATGTGTATATACGTATAGTTTAACTGACTCCTTAGTAAGTTATGTATAGTCTGCAGGTTTTAGGGTGTCTGTAGTTCTCCAAAGACACCAGATTCTCTGTGGCAGAGGACAGCCTACTTTCTCCCCGGCCCTCAGCTCAGGCCTGAGCGAGGCTCTATAAATTGTCTTTATAGAGTAGTGACCTTCTTGAGCAGAAACGAAGGTGAGCAATGGGTATAGGACAGGTAAGGCAGCAGGACAAGGCAGGATAGGTACCGGATCAAAGGAACTAGAAACAGGCCTTGGGATGGGGCAGGCAGTTGGTTGGACACTGGATCTGAGAGGGACGGAGCACCAGTGCAGTGGCAAGTGAAGATGGGAACAGAGACCCAGGCTGGGAACGTGGAGAAGCGAAGGCCACATGTGATGCACAGGAGGAGATGGGCTGGTGGCCACACGTGTCAGGGAGGTGAGTACGAAGACGAGAAGCACTGCAAACCTGTCAACATTTTATGTTTAATCTTCATTCATTAAAGGAATGATCGCTACCTGTGTAATTGTTTGATTTTAGGCCTGGAAAAAATGGAGTTTAACTTCATTGTCATCTGTCACAGAACTGTGGCCCCAGAAAGAGGCATCTCTCAGGCCAGGTACTGTAGGAGTCCGCCCCCTGCTCCATCTGTACTTTTTCCACCCACAGTCCACCTGGTGTGAGAAAGGTGTAGGGATAAAGGTGAGCCCAGGGCACTGTGGGCACCTCCGAGAGAATCTGAGTGGGTGGAATCAGGGCCCTTCAAGAGCCTGTCATTAACATGGAGGGGGAAAGCCAGGGCTACACTGCAATGGGTGCTGTGGGGCGCCCAGGCCTGCACTCTGTCCATGAGGGTGAAGGGGGAGAAGGAAGCAGCCCAGAGAGGACCCGGAGCAGGGCAAACACAGATGGAGAAGCTGAGGGCAAGGAAGGGAGTGACATGGGACCCCACCTGTTGTCCAGGCAGCCTCTGCTCTCCAGAGTGGCACAGTCAGTCAGAGAACAGTCACTACCTGTCCTGCCCTTGTGCGTCCTGGGAGGAAAGAGCTCGCCCACTCCTGACCTGTGTCACACTCACTACGAAGGCAGATATTAGAAGAATCCCATGAAAGTAAACAGGGTGTTCAAACGGATCCTTAAAAATGAAAGTGCAGGCTGCGAGTTGGTAGCGTGGGAGGTGCAGGGTGTGTGTTCTTCTGCAGAGGCGCATGGGGTTTGCAGAGGAGACAGGGGAGCTTTGTGCACCCGGAGCAATGAACAAGCAGCGAATTCTCTGTCCCTCACGGTGGCTCCACGGTTCCAGCGACATGCGGGGGCTCCTCTTCTCCACTCTTCTCCTTGCCGGCCTGGCACAGGTAAGTCCTCTCTCCCGACTCTTTCCCTTCCGGAGACTACAGCCATTCTTGTGCTTCAGGCCAAAAGCTAAACAAAATGGAGATGGGGAAAGAGGGAAGATAAATGGCCTGTGGAAATACTTCATAAGAAATAGGAAGCCATTTTCCTCTCCAGAGAAAGTTCTGTGTTAGTTCTTGAGCTTCATGCAAGAAACGTAAAACGTTTCTCCCTTTCAGGTAATGGCACCGAAGCCCCCTTTCAATATGTTTGAACAGCCCCACACTTTCCTATAGATTTTTGTAGCAGAGCCTAAGGCACAGCCTGGCATGGTACGGGAAACTCTCTCTCCATGCCAGTTCCAGGCGGAGGCTCAATTTTCCATAGCCGTTTGCAAACTGTGCAAAGAGCCCCTGGAAAAACGAATCTTGACAGTGACTTTTTCCAGTGAAGCCTGTCCTTGTTTGAAAGGGGCACTTTGGAACAAACATTTACATTTTGAAAGCATTCTCTTACTTTGTCTTTTCTCAGTCCATGTGTTTCTCACTTCCTGAAAGAGAATCAGTCCGTGGGAGCTTGGAAATATTTCCAGCAACGGGCCAAAAGGAAGTTTAATTTATGATGAGCAATTCACTGCCTTAGTCTTTTAAAATAAGATGGAAACAAGGTGACTTAATTGTTGATTTATTTACACGGTGGAGGTAATTGTTGGCACAAGGGGATGGAGATTTTGAAATCTGGTGATTTAGAAAACATGGCTGTGTCTGTGAGTTAGTAGTTGATTGCAGCTGTAAGTAGTAGATATATCTTAGGAAACAAGGGATTGGAAATTGTTATACCACATATGGAGAGATTTACAATTTCAAAAGAGTCACAATAAGAATGTCAGTGGTCTGGGTCATTGCTGCTGTCACGTGGAGGGGTGCACCCCTTGGCAGTGTGTTTCCTCTTCCACTGTTCTTGAGAAAAACTATCATTGTGGATTGAGAGAGGCTACATGTTCTTAAACAGCAAGTATTCCAACATAGAGAGATGTGTACAAAATAAACAACAAACACAGAAAGGTGTTACACGCAGAGTGGTAAGAATGTATTATTTTGTACTTAACTTTGCTTTTATGAATTCATAAATTCATAAAATATCTGATAATACCTAGCATTTACTAAATATCTGCTATATGCCAAATACTGTGCTGGGGGCTTTATTTATTTATTTAGAGACAGAGTCTCGCTCTGTCGCTCAGGCTGGAGTGCAGTGGTGCAATCTCAGCTCACTGCAACCTCCGCCTCCTGGTTTCAAGCGATTCTCCTGCCTCAGCCTCCTGAGTAGCTGGGATTACAGGGCTGTGCCACCATGCCTGGCTAATTTTTGTATTTTTAGTAGAGATGGGGTTTTACCATGTTGGCCAGGCTGGTCTCGATCTCCTGGCCTCAAATGATCTGCCCACCTTGGCCTCCCAAAGTGCTGGGATTACAGGTGTGAGCCACCTTGCCTGGCCCAAGAGTGCTTTTGGTATTATCTTAATCATCAAAACAACTTTACAAGGTGGTCATTATTAATCCCATATTACAGAGGAGATTAAATGATGGGAAATTCTCTAAGATCACAGAGCTATTGCAAGGCTCGGATCTGTTGTTAAAATTTTTCTATTGTACCATTCTACTGACTCTTGTTGTCCTGAGATTTTGCTGTTGAAACAATCAAAATGTGTCTGAGGAAAAGAGAAAATTATAAAATTCTTTATATTTACCCACATATTCACTATGTCCAGGCCCCTTCCTTTTTTCCTGTATTTCTGAGTTACTATCATAACAGAATATCTTCAGACTCAAGATCCTCCTTTGGTATTTCTTGTGAGGCAGATCTACTAGCAACAATTTCGCTCAGGTTTTGTTTATCCAGAAATGTTTTTATTTCACTTTCATCTTTGAAAGATAGTTTCACTGGTTGTATAATTCTGGGTTGACAGGATTTCCTCCCCCCGCCCCTGCTCCTTTTAACACTGTCTCTGGGCACCTTGTTCTTCTCCATTTCTCCTTCCTCCTCTTTCTTTTGATGACAAGTCAGATCTTAGTTTTATTGTACTTCTGTATGTAATGCTTCCCCCTTTCCTCAGTCTACTGTTCAAGATTTTCTGTTTTTTGAGACGGAGACTGCCTCTGTTGCCCAGGCTGGAGTGCAATGGTACCATCTTGGCTTACTGCAACCTTTGCCTCCCTGGTTCAAGTGATTCTCCTGCCTCAGCCTCCCTAGTAGCTGGGACTACAGGTGCACACCACCACACCTGGCTACTTTTTTGTATTTTTAGTAGAGATGGGTTTTACCATGTTGGCCAGGCTGGCCTTGAACTCCTCACCTCAAATGATCCACCTGCCTCGGCCTTTCAAAGTGTTGGGATTACAGGCTATTTCAGCTTCGTTTTTAAAAGACAGTTTCACTGGCTATATAATTCTGGGTTGACAGATTTTTTTCCCTTTCAGCATTGTCTCTGGGCATCTTCTCCTCCATCTCTTTCTTCTCCATCTTTTGATGAGAAGTCAGACCTCATGTTTAATGTAATTCTGTATGTAATGCTTTTTCTCAGTCTACTGTTATGATTTTTTCTTTATCCTTGGATTTCAACAGTGTTACCTTTTGACCTCAGAGATGATCTGGAAATGCTTCAAAACTGGAAAGATAAAGAGGCATTTCATGGGGGTAGTTTTGGGAGTGTGCATTTCATTAGAAAGAACACGAGGAAAAGCAGGGAGGAGAAAAACAACTCAGGGAGTCCAGCAAATGGAAAGGCATGGAAGGAGAATGTGTGAGAGCTAACACTCAAGAGGTAGGCAGGAACCAGAACAGAGAAGGCTTTGGACGCTTTACTCAGAAGTTTAGCCTGCACACTATAGACTGTGGGGAACCACCCATGGGCTTTAAGGAGAGGTGTAATAAAACCAGACATGTTCTTTAAAGAGATTCCTGCAGCGGCAACGTAGTAGATGCACTTGAAAAGTCATTCTGGAGGGAGGAAGGTCAGTCAGGAACTTGTAGTGATGGTGCTTACTTAGTAGCCATGAAATGGGGAAGAGTGTCTAGTCCTGGGAATACAAGGACAATAGAATAAGTAGGATAGGTCACTGAACGGCCACAGGAGGTGAGGGAGAGGAAGACGGCCTAGAGGAGGCCTAGCTTCCTGACTCCAAATGTTGAAGGGTGAAAAATGATCACTTTTGGACTTATTTCCTGAAGGACATTTGGGTGCAGATGTCCAGTATGTAGTTAGCTCGTGGATCCAGGGCTCCGTAGAGACATCTGGGCTGGAAATTTAGTTTTGAACTTGCATAGGATGAAAACTGAAGGCAAAGCGGTGGGTGAGAGATCCAAGAGACAGTGTGTAGAGTGAGATGAGCAAAATGTTAAAGCTATGAAACACCAATAGGCCTAAATCTAAGTCAAATTCAGGGTAACAGGAGCCTGTGGAGGAGATTGAAAAACTATGTTGATAAATAAGGGGAGGATTGGGGGGACGAGATGTAATGAAATCCAAGGCAGAGGAGAGTCAAATGCCTTAGAGAAGGGGGGCAATAGGAGGACTGAAGAGATTTCACGAATGTGAGACCGGCAAAGAGGTCACTGAACCTGGCATCCTGAATCACTGGTGGCTATAGCTGAACCTGTGTAAAACTGATAAGTAGGCAAAAGTTTTTTTTTTAAGTTTAAATTTTTTTAGGATTCTAGCTTCATTATTCCTACTACCTTCTCCACTTTGGTGTTTCCTTTTCCCCTGCTCCTTCTCCAGAAGCCCAGCACTGTCCCATTCCCCCCATCAAATCCCATTCTCACGTTGTGCATGCAACTTTGGAATCACAGCTGAAATGTTACTCTTTACTGCAGTATATGTGTTTTACCGGTGGTGAGAAAAAAAGGCTGAGGGTTTAATATTTGGTGGAATTTCATACAGATACTTCTAAATGCAGAGTTTTTGAGCTGTGAAGTGACTCAGATCTAAGAATCAATCCAATAGCCCCTGGTTCCATCAAATAAGCATTGAGAGTTATTTACATAAGCCAATTGCCAGACACTGTGCTGGGTGCTGGTGGTATACTTTCAAATGAACCACAAGCACCTGAGGTCGGGTGGCTTTATGGCTAGTGGAAGAGATAGGCACTTACATGCGTCATTTCCCTTCAAAGACGTGTGCGAGGCAGAGAAGTTACAGGAAGCTTCCTGGAAAAGATGATACCAAAACAGAACCTTG